AGGGATGTGTGCTCTCCCCGCTGCTGTTCTCCCTCTACACAAACGACTGCACCTCAGAGAACCCCGCTGTTAAAGCCCTGAAGTTCATAGATGAGACAGCGGTCATCGGCCTACAGACGGGAGGTTGAACAGCTGGTGGTGCAGCCGCTCCACTATCTCCCAGGGCCTCAAGTGGATGTCCAACATCAGCACCGAGAAGACACAGCAGAGGACAAACTTCCTGCTCCAGCTCAGGAAGTTCGTCCTCTGCCCCAGGAGCTGCTGATCCAGCTCTACAGAGGTGCAATAAACTGTAAATATAAGCACTGTATACATCAGGCTCAAATGCCTTGTGTGTTTACACATACTTGGCCAATAAACATGTTTCTGATTCAGCCAAATGGCTTCAAGAGCCAACAGTGAATCAGCAGCGACTCAGCGTTGCGTCGCTGCTGCCTGTGAAGGTTTCACTCCACAGGCTGAGACAGAGATGTAAACTGGCCTCATGGTGATCACACGTGGAGCAGCAGCATCTCCACATGTCATAGCATCATCTGTCCTGTGCAACACATTCAAACCAGTCACCATCACACATGTGCTGGTGCATTGTCATCACCATGACTACTCATGGAAGATGCAATACATTCACTGTACATAAAGGTACCATACACGTGGTTTCATATGAGAGACGACACATGGGTTTTCATTCATAAGCCAGCTCGAACCTGGAATACAGCAGGGACAGTAAAAGCCCCGGCAGCTGTGAGTGCACATCTGGGGGACCACACACGCAGGAACACTGGGATGGAGTGTAAAAGCTTTTCCTGCTGCATCCTGTGAGGAGTGAAGCCTCCAGATGAAACCTTCCTTTCACTCACTCTGGTCTCTCAACACACATCAGTGCTCAGACTCTGATCGTGGCCCTCTGCTCTCCAAAATAAAACCATAACCCTGCAACACCACAGTAAACACTGTGGGCTCCTATTGGACACTCAGAGAGCAGCTGACCAATCTGAGAACACAACAATGAACCTCTGCTGCCAGGTGCACAAAGTACAGAAAGAAGTATTCCAGAACAGAGCAGGGAGCTGGGGGGTTCAGGCTCGACTGTGCTGCTCAGCTCAGTTTCTACACCTCGACATGTTTTAGCTGCATGTGGTGACAACCTGAACAGAAAACTAACCGTCATCACTGTGAATAAATATTCTGGCCACCAGTTTCTGCTGTAGGGGGATCTGCTCACTCCTCTGATTTGTCTGATTACAGTCGGAATCTGCTCGGGTGTTCGCACAGGCTTTTGTGGCAGGCCGCACCTATCACTACTTTTCTCAGCATGAACCTACTAGTAATTTTTCTGATTGGTCAACAAAAGGTCTGAACACAGTGATGAAATTCTCCAGCATCAGTGTGACATGTCTTTTGTTTTGTCCAAAACCCCAAAGAAACTCAGACCTAAAAACCCGAACAACTGCAGAAATTGAATTTAAAGAACCTTTTTGCTAAATGTGCGGAGACCTGCGTGTTCCAGCAGATTTTACAGAATCATTCCTGATTCACTTTGCCACATAATTAATCAAAACATCCCTGGGCCAACCTGTAGCTCTTCCTGTTTGTTGAGTAAAACCTGACTGCCTGAAACTATTTCACACAGTATTTATGTCATTCATCTGATCCTGGCCTGGTTGGACACCACTGCCCCTTCACTCACTGTAAAAATACTGATTTTTATTTTGTGTCCTGTGCTGCAGTCTCACGTCTGACCCCGGTGGACACGTCCTGTCCTCTCATTTAACGGTTTGGA